CGCGGTACCGGTACCAAAGGGAAATGCACTATCAAAACGAGATGGCCACCCATTGCTAGAGTTAAAGATGTCCTCCTCTGGAAGATTTACGCCGGAATCATTCCAAGGATTACGATAACCGCTATCACGCGACTCCATAGAAACGAGGGATGCTTTAGAAGCATTACTGGATGCATGCTTGAAAAGCGAGCCAGGAGAACCAGAATGGTTCTTGCGACCGATAAACGACGAAAAAGAAGAAATACTACCAGGCTTACGGAGGCGCTCAAAAATCGAACCTCTATCACTGGCATCGTCGGGGAAGTTGGGGCGAGTGGGTGAGTCGGTAACAAGAGGAGCAGGGGCGTGTTGTAACAATTTTGAGTCAAAGAAAGGCAAAGACTCTTCAAAGGAATCTGACTTGGGACGGGGAATTGATCCCTTCACGGTCGTAGCATCAAGTCCGTGAGAGACGAGACGGGAAACAAGAAAATCGATGGCGTCCTTCAATCCACCGGCGTTGTTCCGTGTATAGCCAAGAACGAGTCTATCCTCTTGGGCGGGAGAATCAGTTCCTAGAGCCGGCTCTCCGGCTGTATCGACCGCTACGGCAACCTCATATTGATCTTTGAGTTTTTGCATGACCTCGACTGTGAACTCTGGAGTCTTGAAAAATTCTCGAAGTTGCTCAGAGCTACTGAAGGATATTTCATGAGTTTCAGGCACCATCCCCTAAGATTTGTCAGTACGATGACCCAAATCAACGTTGTAATAGGCCTGCGTGGGACCCATGCTGGAGCGCATGCACAACTCAAAAATAACTTGCGATGAACTAAAGTCCTTCTATAGCAGTATGTGCGCTTTTGGGATTTCAATTGAGGCATCACTGACACCGAATACCTTCAGCGCGCGCCGCTATCGAAGACGAATATGCGAGAAAGTTGCTAGCACTATGCCGGAAGCCGCTAGGCTCTTACGAGTCGGGGACTCTTCGGGCCTCGTTAGACACTGTGAGAGGAGAGACGGAGGCAATTGGGAAGACACATAGTGCGATTGCATCGCAAATGAAAAGCGAATTGGAGGAACCACTCGCTGCGTTTGCAGGAGGTATGAAGGAAAGAAGGAAAATCGTTCAGTATGGCATTGAGAAGTTGCTGAAAACTAAAATACACCAGCTCCATGCTGTCAATAAAGTATGCCAACTGGTTTATGCCGATTTTCTAAAGCAAGTGCACTGACAGTCAAGTAGTCAAGAGATCGATATGAGCAGGACTGCCTTCGTATTAAAGGATATCTAGCTCAAGGGCATATGGTAATGGGTCAAGAAGAACGGAAAAACAAGGCTAAACTTGAAAAGACTCAGATTCAATTGGCCTCAAATAGTAGCGAATACGAAGCCGCTGTGAAGGTCTTAGAAGAGACCACAGGGAGATGGAACAAGGAATGGAAAGCTGCTTGTGATGTGAGTTACCTTTCGCAATTTTAACATTTTCCACTAACAAGTACGACAGAAATTTCAAGACCTAGAAGAGGAGCGATTGGACTTTACCAAGAGTAGTCTCTGGACCTATGCGAATGTCGCTTCTACTGCTTGTGTTAGTGATGATGCAGTAGGGCTCTCACCCCAAGCATTAGTGGACTACTACTAACGGCTTTAGTCCTGCGAAAAAATTCGAGTTTCCCTGGAAGGCTGCGAGGTCGAAAAAGATATCAGCTTATTCATTAAGGAGAGGGGCACCGGTCAAGAAATACCTGACCCTCCAAAATACATAAACTTTTGTCGGGGCGATCTCAACGACACAAGCTCAGAGACATCTGAAGAAGAGAGTTATTCTGTGGCCCAATTCCAGCGCACGATCAATCCTGCCTTCAGAAGCGCTTCGCCACAGCCTTCTACTTACGAATCTCACCACGACCCGGACTCTGAACTTGCAAGGAGGATGGGCCACGGTGATCCTGGTACACCCGCAAGTCGCGAAGCAACCGTAACTCCACAGAAGTCTGTGAAGCCAGCCCAGCCTCCGCAGCCCGTGCAGACGGTAGAGCCTCCGCAGAAAGTACAGCCAGTACAGCCTGTGCAGCCTATACAACCCGTTCAAACTCCACAGCCAACACAGCCAGTACAGTCAATGCATCAAATGCAACCGGAGTCAACACAGCAAGCTCATCAACAAGTCCAAGCGTTCGAACAAAGCCTACTCACGGATACGAGGCGTGGAGGTAATCTTCCTCCAAATTATGAGCCAAGCCAACATGGAGACATTCCAAACGTCCCCCACAATGAGTATCCTACAGATGGCATGACGATGTTCTGCCGAACAGGGCCCCCGTCAGAGCGAGGATCTACCATCAGTGTAAACCGCCCCTCAAGCCGAGATTCACACTCATATAGTGAACTTTCAAATCCTACGTCATTCTCTAGCATTGAACCCCCTAGCGGGAAGCAGTCTCCGACGAAACCTACCAATGGCGTCCCAATGCCTGGCATGGCTAACATGAAGCAGCCAGTTCAGAAGAAACGCAGTACGTTCTTTAGCAATAGTCCGTTCCGGAGAAAGAGCAAGCATGAAAAAGAACGCCAGAATTCTCAGCAGGCCACCCCCCCGTCAACAAACCGCAATACATGGGCTGCTCCAAAACAGTCGAAAACTGCTAGCCAGATATACCAGAGACAGCCAACTTTTGAGCCTGAACGTCGTACTCGAAGCCCAGAGTTGATTGACCCCAGAGCAAACTTTCAGCTCAATGTCGGCAACAATGTTTTTGATGTAGCATCGCCAGAAGCCACAGCACGACGAGGACCTCAAGCCGCTGGCAACAAGGAGAATGACCTGGACCCCATTGCCCAGGCCCTCGCCGAACTCAAAGGAGTCGGAAAGCAGTCATCTGTCCGGGTTTCGGCCGATCGATATCATGGAATATCAACCCCAGCTCCCCCTTCTGCTGCATCCAGTCAGCCTCTCGCTCCTATACAGGACAGAAACAAGGCTGCTGCAAAACGGGGTACACCCCCGCCGTCATACAGTGATACAGCCCCCATCAAGCGCCTAGATCCACCGCGACCGGCATTCACCTCGGCTCAGATGCAGAAGACAACACAGAAATATGTTGGGCAAACACAGAACTTGTTCAGCAGCTCTACTCGGTCGCAAAGAAGCGCGGCACCAAGTCAACCCACTTCTCAAGGACAATCAGTTTCCCGCGCTGTGTCTCCTGCACCAAGGCGAAGTGCTAGTCCTCAGCCAGTCGTCAATACTGAACGCCGTCAATCCCAATACAGTATCAATAAACCTTCCTCAAACTCGTATCAGTCGAGTAGTATGAACAGCAGATATCGACAATCCCCTGCTACCACACCTACAAAGCCCGTTGCTGAACCCTCTTACTCACAACAGTATCCCCAACGCGCATCCCCCAGCCCAGCCCCTCGCGCATCCCCAAGTGTCTTACATCGAGCTGTATCGCCACAGCCACAATTTATAAGACCAGAGCGCCCTGCAAGCTCAAGCGGAATGGAGCTTCAGCTGTCGACCAACCAAATGGAAATGCATACCGGCGGCCAAATGGGGGGTGAATATGGGGGTCATTCACGGTCATATAGCCATGTGGACAATACGCAACGTCCGATGAGTATGTATTATGGTTCGGCTTCAGATGTGGGAACTAGTGTTCAGCCATATCGTAGCAGAAGCAGGAGCGTAGCTGCACCAGATGGAAGACCGTTAAGTCGAGACGGCCGTCCAATTTTACATTTTGGTAAGTCAAAAATTACGGGATAGTTCTCCTTTGAACTAACAGTTTTCGTCTTAGCACGAGCAATGTATAGTTATACGGCCGCAATTCCCGAGGAATTGGGCTTCACAAAGGGAGATATTCTCGCTGTGCTCCGCCATCAAGATGATGGATGGTGGGAGGCAGAAATTACGGGGAGCCCTACCCATCCTGGCCTCGTACCTAGCAATTACTTGCAACGCTGCTAAATAATGTCCATGACGTTGATGAGTCTCCGCAATTTGGATGTATAGATATGATTCCCTGACGTTTTGGACCGTTTGACGACATCTACTTGTACCCTGAACGGAGCCATTGCATTCGCTCGAGTATTGTCTATTTCGATAGGCTCCATTGCTTTCTCTCTAACTTGTTTTGCTTTCGCTTGCCCCATGCCTTTCGCTGGTTATCCCCTTTTATGTTTGTTGTTGGCATCCTTTTTATTCACTCATGATCTTCGAATTTCTTTTTGATACACCTTATGCTGAGCATTTTCGTCATTCTCGGACATGATTTATTCCCTTTGTTAAAATGCTGAGCGTCTTGCATATGTTATTAATGTCCTTAGTTCTTAGTCGCTTAATTGAAATAATATTCCTTGGAACCAGGAAGGTTGTGGATACTTGCTCTTTTGAGGAGGTAGCCCTATTGAATGAAGTAATAATGCCCGAAGACATAGGAAAGCGACATTTGAAAATAGGAATAACGGGATGGGGAATTGGCTGGGATTTTGAGAAGAAGGTGTACAGATTAATAAGATGTAAAGTCTCAGTTGGATTAAAACCATACAGCCGCTCCAGATGGTGCTTTGCGCCACAAAATGAAATGATATAGACAAAACATGTACACAAAACCATTGGCCAACCTTATGAAAAGATAACGCCGTCATAGTGTATATATGTGCAGGAAAAACTATAGCGTTAATGCTCAGGAAGGGACATATTAGGGGAAAAATCATTTCATTCATCATCGACAAAGGAATTGGCTAGACGACCGAAAAAAGGTACTTCGAAGTGTTCAAGCGTGTCAACTGCAGCTAATTAGCGAATGGGCCGGGATACTTGGGGCGAATATTATGTGGGAGCATACCATCGCGATAGGCGTGTGAGGCGAGAAAGGCGATTAGGCAAAGGTCCACGACGAAAAGGAGCCATGAGAAGATGCTCGTCCAGGCGAAGAGCATATGGATGATCTGTGATTAGAGCGGGATAGTTAGATGAAGTTCCCCGGAACATCTCGTTGGAGGAGAGAAAAACCGTACAAATAGAGCGGTAAACAGCATGCTAGACTGCCAGGCGTGGAATCTTTTAAATCGCACTCTTATTAGAATAATGTATCGAAGCTAATACGGGGACCCAAGGGGGGGGATGTGAGTAGCATGTTGTAAGCGACATCCCCCATCGCCCTTGGGCTGCGTCTTCACATACCGTACATAGTCACTCTTATGTTCTACCAGCAGTAAAAACACCCCGCCCGCAGGCGGTAGCAGCAGATACGCAAGCATCGCCTCAATATGTAATGGTATCGGTAGACTGGTCTCGAACGCGCTCACGTCCGCGCGCCCGCCCTCGACATATCGCTCATGGCCAAATCCCGTATTCGCATTATTCTCTAAACTGTTTCTTCCCTGGCCGGCAAAGACACTAGGAGACGGAAGGTTGGAGGGGACGTTGGGTGCCGGGGGTGAGGATCGGGGGGATTTGGTCCGATTCGCGTCGATGGACGGTGAGAGTGCGCGCTCGACGTCTGGAGATTCGTCCTGGTAGGGTGCGAAGTTCATTGTTCGATGAGGATTAATATGTGGGTTCCGTGAATTATCTGCCCATGGACGATAGTAGCGAGATACGAAGAACTCCTGGCGGAGTAGGGAGTATGGTGATATGGGTGTTATGATCTGCGTTTGGCGGACCTGAAGCGCGGACCGAGCTTGGCGCCGCGTCTACATTTTGTCTGATAGTTAGATATAGGATGAGCGCGGAAGATCATGAACCTTTAAGAGCATTTCTATTCTATCATGACAGCCAGGTACTGAAAGGGGTATCTTAAAAATCGGGACTCCATAAACTCATAACCATGAACCGCTTGGGACTCAAGTCCCACGGAGCCGTCCTCGACTATTTGCGACGCTTGATCCTCTAGATGTAGTTGATGAAGGCCTCCTCAAACCAGTGGTTCCCCTACCTGCAGTGCCTCTACTTTGATTTCGTAAACTAGTTTGCCCCGTCTGCGCGGTGCTGGAAATAGATGGGTTGCGTCCCGCAACCCGTGTCCTCCCTCTTGAGGATGCTCCCCGTAGCCCTCGAGACGTTGCAGCTGCTGCTTCTGCCTTCTTACGTTCCTCCTCTGCGGCCTTTCGAGCCAAGGCTTCCTTTCGTTGCTGCTGTTCCAATTCGCGTCGTTCGGCCGCCTGCTGTTTTAATGCAGCCTCGTTCTCCATCTTCGCGATGTCCTGCGTTGCGCCTTGCCAAGAAGGGTTCAGGATCAGTCTCTGGTTATGTTCTGTCTGCGAAAGGACTCGCGTCCACGTATCGAGAAGGGTGGAAGCTGAATCAACGGTACGGGAGACATTCTATGACGCGATAGGTGAGCGAGTGTCAACAGAAATGTGTCCATAGTATTAGTTACCCCCATATTATCTTTGGCACGTTCTAAACTGTCGATGGTGCCTTCAATCACGTTGTTGATGTTGCGAAGCATTTGCAATTCGGCGCGTAGAGCGACCTCTCTTTCTTCAGAGGACGGGATACCTTGGTTCGAAGAAGCATCTTCCGCGAATTTTCCGGAGCTGTGCTTTGGACGCTGTTTCGAGGACATATTCCAGAAATCCCCCTCGGAGCTTTCTTCGAGGTGCAGCTTCTCCATGTCATCGGTAGGAACGGTCATAGTTGGACATCAGCAACTGGTAGCAAAATAATAGCGCTTCTCAATATAATGCAAGGAATCAGCCGTATCCTGTATATCTCAGTGCTGCCGCGCTCAATCAATCTTGTGGTGACGAAATTGCCGATTGGCTGGAAAGTGGCTGGTTCACCTGGACTAGCCGTGTTGGGCCTAAACTGTGGCTGGTAACCTCACGACTTCAAGTCAACCGACGTCGCGTCGAAATTGGCACTGAGACTCGTTGTTATCCCAGACACGAATACACTGTTGGACGATTCTACACAAAAGAGCCATTGACCTATTGTTGACGCTTGGGCCTTTCTTGGAAGCTTGCCTATGTCACGAAACTTTTGTCCCAGCCTGTGACCCCAACTGGATACGCCTGCACTCCCCGATTATTTGAGTACCGAGAACCGTCGTTTATCTGCAGATAGAGGTGGTTTATATCCTGTTCTAATTGGCAGGCAGTTGCTTGGATTCCGTTTGTTGATAGTGAAGTGGCAGTCGTCTGAACATTTGGTTGCCTGCTTGTCTTGGTGCCTGGAAGCTCAGTTCGTTGGTGCTGGATGTATATTGAACCATCTGGTTCATGAACTCTCGCTGAGTCGTCATCCAGTTGGCGCTTAGTCGTTGCTGAGTCGTTCGCTGAGTCGTCAAGAGCAGCTGGTGAACATTTTGTCTCTGGCATGCCCGCTATAAAGCTTCCTTCACCACCAACATTTCCATCTTTATATTACATCCTCTAGATTTCCAAAATTTGAACTGGTAAGTACTTCAACATGATGACAACTGGCTTTATTCTAAGCTAACACAATACTACATAGCAGTCACAGCACCCTTATATATTCGTCCCATATTTCCACATCCAGGAACCACCTACCCACTGCCAAAATGACTACCACTCCTCCCCCAAGAGGGAGGCTTCAAACGCCATCCGCTCCGCTCCATGGTGCTGGATATGATACATACTCCCCTTATTCCGGCTCACCCCGTCGATCAAAGCGTTTAGCAACCCAGAATGATACAGACAATTCAGCCCAAGATTCGGATACTTTTGGTTTAGATCTTCATTCAGACGAGAAATCTGATGCTGGTAAGTGAGAAAGTTTCGACGAAAGCACCCTTTTTTGTCAAAACCTCACTTTCTGACAATATCTAAGCTTTGGACGGAAACCCCCACACCCTAGATTGTGATTCAGACGACTCTTTGTCCACGCCCAACTCACCTAAGAAATCGCCCTCAAGCAATTCCGATAAACAACACAACTTACTCTCACCTCGCGCTAAAAATCACGCTAGTGACATTACAAGTGGCTTTCCTTCGCTTCCATCCTCCAACATTTCTTCTGAAGGAACAAACCATTCGGTCACCATGACTGCAGGAATGCTTCCAACCCCAGCTAAGACCCCCCGCAAAAAGAGGGTTCCCAATCCGGGGCCCGTTGCGCGTACCTTATTCGCCGATTCTACCCAAGTCATGGACTCTGAGCAACCCTCTCAAAAACGCTCCAGAGGCGGGAAATTCAACGGATTTTCTCTGGAGAGCTTTCATTCTGATCCACAACAGAACTCGGGCTCGATTGATATCTACACGGATGTTAGGGATCGTATCCCTACTCTAAATCCTTCGGTCGATAATCCTTTCATTAGTCGTCCAGGAGAAACCAATACTCCCAAAAACGATGAACCTGGGAAAGCCAAGAGGAGAAAGGTCAGCAAAGATGATGACAATGAGCGCGACTCGGCGGTGGATGACATGGTTAAACGCGATGACGGTGTGCTTTATGTCTTGTAAGTTACTCGTTGACTCCTATATGGGTAGTCTCTAATCGCATCTCAACAGCCGGGGAAAGAAAATCTTTCGCAAATTCAGTCCTGAGCACATTGACGAGGCTGACGATAACGAAGACCTCGGTCTTTTGGGCTCCATGGATGGCGCTTCTGGCACCTACACCCGTCCTTTGACTCGCTCATCTATCAGACCGCGAGTTTTATTCCCTACAGCGGAGCAGTTGCGTGCTCGTGAAGCGAAAACCAAAGCCAAGGAGACCGCAAGACAGACAAGAAGAGCAGAAACGGAAGAGGACGCTCCTCCTGACGCGATTAGAACTCCTACAGCCCCGTCAAAGGCGACCCAACTTGCAATACCTTCTACACCTCTCGCTTCAGGCCGATCCCTCCGTTCTCAAACCAAGAAATTAGAACCTGAAATGACCCCAGACAATTCAGGCAACCGAAGCGGAAATAGGTCCAGCCCTTTTGATCGTTGGACCCGCATCAAATCCAAGTCTTCTCCAGCAGCCAAAGGGAAAAAACGGACTTCCAGCTCCATGGACCGCAACAACCAACCCCAGCGCAAGAAGATTCATCAATCCGAGTGAGAAGTTAGTCCACATGGCCCACACCGAATTTTCAAACTGCGATCCGTAGCGCCGTTTCTCCAGAGCGAGACTATTCTACCTCGACCATAGCTCTCACTCTATATTTTTTATGAAGAATCGGTTTCCCAATCTCCCAGATCGTTTCGTTTCCCGTTTTCCTTTCCATGCAATGATGATAATGACCTATGGTTTTCCTACTTTTCCTACATAACTTACCAGCATTTCTTGCTCCGCAACGTTCGTATGGCAGATAAATTCATTGACATCCCTATCAGTTTCATTTTTCCTCTTTTTTGACATGTACTCTTAAACCTGGACTCTCGCCATGAGTGTTCTTGTTTATGAGATCTCCTTGGCCGCTTGCGCGTTTTGCTTTTCTTTCTGTTTTACACTCGGGTTTAATAAATGGTTCAACGGAACATCGGGGCATCAAGCAGGCGAGTGCAGTGGTTAAATCGGTTGGTTGCTTCCCGTTACCCCAAAACTTAGGTATCCTTTTCTTCCGGCGTTAGGTAAATCGATTTGATACAAAGACTTAGGTATGGCAGGAGACATTAGGTCGAACCTGAACAATAAGAAGCTTATCAAATTATGCGGTACTTTTTTTTGCTCTAACGTAGGCTAGTAAGTTAGATTTGGTTGTATCACTGTGCTCAATATGGGCCTATCCATAAAACTCAAGAGCCAGAATTGTAGCAATAATAAGACATCAACAAGAAAAGAGCGATTTCCCGAACTCTTACAAAGTCCGATCCTTCATGCATCGTCATCATCATTAGTCGAAAGGACAATTTGTATCAAAACCTGCCAAATATGCACCAGAGCCTTCATTCCACTCCCAAGAATACCGCGTCAATGCCAAACTGCTCGCCCGGAAGAACTAGCGCGCCTGAAAGTCGTATGTATATACAACGAAAAGGAGATAAAAAAAAATTGAGGACTATCCCACAATATCCAGGTCATCATCCGAGCAAGCGCCCGGATTTGTCCCTAGGCTTTCCCTACCAGCCTCCCGAATCCCCTTTGCAGTAATGAACCTTGTCTTTTTTACCGGTGAGGACCGCCCATTGTTGTTCCCGGAGCCAGTGCTAGTATCAAAATCCCGCTTCTTAATCCGACCCAGTCGCACATTGCTCGCGTTTTTGGATAGTTTGTCCAATCCCAATACGACACGAGCCGACGGGGGCTCATCGGGCCTGCGCTGCTGTGAAGCGGGAGCGCCGGAAGTTGACGGCTGAGAAGGATCTTGGGCAGCTTCGCCGTGCTGGATACGAAGATATTCCGAGCCAACGCTTTTAAACTCGCCGAGTCGCCTCGCGATATTACGTTCTTTTTCCTGATCGGCGAGCCTTTTGCGCAGTCGATCACCCTGACTCTCACCGCGTCGATGGAAAAAATCTCCGTTGCCGCTGAAGGGGTTATCCGCATCTATCATGCCCGCAGCTGAACGATGAATCCCTGGCACCGGAGGCGTGACATAGTACGTTGACCCTGAGCCCCGATCATAGGCGGCGCCTTCATTTCTGAGGCCGTTTTCTTGTCCGCCACGGCCATGCCCGCCTCGGTTTCCAAACCGCCCGGATCTAGGGCCTCGACCAAATCCGGGACCGTTGTTGACTTCCATTCTCTGTGCGGTTGTTTTCTTCAGCTGAATCTCAACATGGAAATCGCAAAAATCAGTTTTACGGCCGTCTATCCAGGAATCGCAGACCTTGCCGTCTTTCTTCACGGCTTTGCAGAAGTTGATATCCTGAGCAGTGCCTATTTCTAGTATTGTATCATCTGAGGACGATACAGTCAGGCTGAATGCATTTGTGTTGGTTTTATGCGGCGGCGGTGGCATGATGGCCGGATTCAGGATTGCAATCAGCGTGCCTGGTGACATCTTGTAATATTTTGGGAATGCCGTAGCAAACAAGAAGAGGTCGATGCTCCATTTCAAGTCAGTCAAAGTGAACACCATATATTTCGCTGTATTGTTAAGCCCGTCGTCATAAGGATCTTTCTCTTTTTCTGCCCCCTGTTTCTTGTCTTTATGCTCCCTTGGAGTGGACTTTGAACCGACAACCCCAAAAACCACATAGTCACCATCTGTGTCAGGCAGTTCAAACTCTGGTCCCTTGACTGTTCTCAGCAAGTCGGGGATTCGCAGCCTCTTCATGGACTCGGTCTTTCGCGTGACATATGAGTGTGGTAAGATGCGGTTGGAGAGATGAAGCCCCGAGTAGGGTTCGAACTTGGAAGGATCAGGAGTTTTCTTGTCATGCATCCCATGATCGTCTTCGGGTCGGCCAGTTTCAGTGAACGAATTGCTTCGTCCGTGAGTCACAGTGTCTCTCGATGAAGGCCTGTCATGGACTGTAGATATGGTTTTACTCCGGCGTATTGGAGAGCGCGGTCGATTATAGGCATGCACAATATCGGTACGGCTGAATTGCTGGGGCTGCGATCTTTCCGTCGCCAGAGAAGTAGAAGGCTGCTTTGTTGCCTCCGCAGCCGCCTTGAAATTCTCTAATTCCCTTTTGTCCACCTCAAACCCGGTCCTTCGATTACGCGCAACGTTCTGCGCTTTCTCCCATTTGGCTTTGTCCGCTGCCTTGCTCTCGCGAAGTCGTTCGCTGAAACTCTTGATTTTGGGAGAATCGTAGGACGGGAAACTTTGGGAGACTGTAGATGGACCAGCGCCGAGTCGAGATGTAGGTCTAGTCGTACTGAAGGAGCTTCCTGGTCTAGCAGCGTCTCTGGATCCGGGCGGCCGCCTCAGCGACACTTCGCTGCCTTTCAGGCCCTTATCGATGCCCAAGATAACCCGTCTTGGGGATATAGGGTCCTTTGGTGTGACTATTTTCCTGAGAGGTGATAGAGGTACTTGGACATCATTTGCACTTCTCGCATCATCTATTCTCTCGTTCCGATCTCCAAGATATCGCTTCCCAGGTCCCCCGCGAAATCCGTTGCCCTCCGTGCTGGCATCTGCGACTTTTGAAGTCGAACCATTTTGCTGTTTCAACTTTTTCAACTTCAGCCGGGCCTCGATCGCTGCCAGCTTCAACCGCAAAGTCTCCTCGTCATCCTCGTCGTCAACGGCGTAGTCGGTATTCTCGTCCAGCAATTGGCTCGCTCTACTCTTGCTGGGGCTTGTTAGGTTCGCGCGGCTAAGGTGTTTCCGCCTCTGCATCTCTTGGTATTTCCGCCGGCCACCGGGTGAGCTCATAAGGGCTTCGTGGGGAGATTTCGGGGGCCACGGTATTTCGGCCACTATGCTCTCAGTTAGCGGGGCAGGGCGAGGGGGAGACAGAGAGGGCAAACTCACTCGTGGACCTAGCCGCTGCAATCAAAAGCCTCTTATATCTCAGACGTCCATGGCGTCCTTGATAAACATTCAATCCGGAACGTATCGCGGGTGTGCGGCCGGATTGGGAGTAGTGGGAGGTGCGTTTGGAGCGGGCGATAGTTAGGTGAACAGCAGAGATTATGGCCGTAACTAGAGACGCAAATCTGGACGGAGAGCAGGTTCCTCTCTCAATTGAAGCCAGTCGAGCAGGCAGAGAGATAAGCGATGCAGCGTCGAGATGAAGGCGCTTGTTCCCTGCAGGTTTAATTATTAAATCAACACGCGACGGAGCGCGTCTGTTTCGCGTTTCCAGGCCGCCCTTTGCGATTCTCACACAACAGTCGATGGTCTGTATGCTCTCCGACTACAACTAGTATTCCCCATTGAATCTGTTTGACGCATTCTCCCCATATGATCGGATTGTGAGATCATCCGCCACAAACCATGAGGACCCGGTCCTCCGCCGCGACCGCGCCCGCAACGGCCACCGAGGTCGCAGTAACACCTTCAAATACAGGAAAACCACGGGGACAATCCAAATTTCTAATCCTGCCTTCCGACGCTTCTAAAGATGCCCGTTTTGCGCTTCTTGAGAATCCAAGAACAGGGGTCAGAGGCCGCTACTACTTCTGCCCAAAACTTGGGCTTTTCGAATTGACAGCTCTCACGCCGCCAGCCTCGACGCCCCGAAGCGTTTTGTTCGTTGAATCCCGATTAGAAGCGGACAATGATGACGGTGATGATGCACAGCAGCCAGAGGCTCCCGGTGAAATGCAGGATGGGATAGAAGGGAGCGAAGGCGATCATACCGTGCACAATGGCTCTACGTCCAAGACGGCAGAGGTTATCGTTGCGACTCCGATAGACGCAATATTCTTCTTACTACCGATTCTTGCCCCGTCAACGACATCAAAGTCATCACGTCGGTTATTCCAGCCGCTTGATGACATTCTCGACGCTCAGGAGGACCTCTCCAAACATCTTCGAAGTTTCCTGCTCGACAAGGAGTTTCGATCCAAAGTCGAACGTCGCATGACTGCCATATGCGACACGGTCGAGGCAGGGGAAACAATGTTCAGACTCAGTGAGGAGAAGCTAGTCACGGAGCTACTGGCGAAGGCTGAGAAGATGGCCGGCGCTGGACTCCCGCCCTCAATGGAGGAGCGGTTCGTTCGACGGGCGCTGGAGCTCCCAATTCTGAGCATCAGCAGGGAAGACAGCTCAAAGACCACCTCTACGGAGGTGTCAACCACGAATATATCCAAAAATGACCTTGACTCTCAATCGTCGACAACTACAGTTTCAACCACAGCAACCGCAGAAGCCTCCTCAACTTCAGTATCAAGTACTGCAACGCCAGCCACGGAGCTAAGCCAACCGCCTCTTCAAAACGACAATGCGTTTCAAACCTCACAAATAACACATCTTCTTCGCATACGCACAGCCCTGCAGTATATCCAATCCTCCTACCTCCCTCCCCACCTCTCCACCAGAGTCGACGAAATCCTCGCTTCTCCATCTAGCCCCAAAGACTTCACGACCCTAACCGAACACCTAAAACATCTAACCAATCTCCGCGCAGAGGCGGCCGCCTCACGCTCCATGTACGACAACTTCAGCCGCAAACGGGGCCTGGACGACGAAGAAGCAGAAGCGGCGGCTGAAAAAAGACGGAAACAAGAGGAAGAGGAGAGGAAGAAGAAAGCAAAGGAATCTCGAGGAGTACGGGAGCTGAAGAAAGTGAATACTTCTGGGATGAAGAAGTTGAGTTCGTTTTTCGGAAAGAAAACTTGATTTTCCCCATACTGGCGTGTGATCACGCTCGAGGGGAAATTTTGTAGGTGCCAGCAGCCCGGCCAACGTAGAAGAGGTCTTTACGTCCGGGCCAGCAGATCAGGGACAGGCGGCCCTCTCTTGTCGGAGGCTTTAGCTCATGCCAAATCGATGAGAGAAGGACCGCCTGAGAAGGGATTTTTTTCCTTACTAAATGTATATGGTGCATACCGACATCTAAGAGCCTCACATTTTGGCAGAGACTCTGAGAGGTTGTGGCCCGATGGCTTATTGTACTCTACGCGGGGATACCATATTCTCCCCTTTTGAAGATCTTCCTTTGGCGAAGTCATTATAATAATTCGGAAACGGAGCAGCTGAGATCTCATCCGAAGAATATTTACCTCGCGTAACCTTGCTAATCAGTGAACGAAACACAAGACTGGCTAGACTTGTGCTATTTGAATATAGTGTATTAAATTATAATATTGATCTTTATAAATCTTTTAATTAGAAAGTTCAGCTGTGGTCCCCTTGCATGACATCGGTAATCGCACTGCCGGAAATTCTGAGAGAGGCGTTAGCTTTCCCATACACAGCCAGACTGGAAATGTGAGGAACTGCTTACACAAACGAACCACTTGAAGGTTTACTGATCACCATGGCCTCCTTCAACTTTTCTTCGCTTAGGCCGGGGAATCGTTTGTCATAGTATTCTCTCTTCAAAGCCGACGTAACAGCGTCAACCTTCAATTGTGGGATCATATGGACAGTACATCCGCCCCAGCCAGCGCCAGTTAAACGGCTCCCAAAGGATCCGGCGCGAAGGGCAATTTCGCACATTTCATTGACTTCAGGGCACGAGCAGTCATAGAGTGTACGACAAGATTCCTGTGATTCATTCATTAGCTGTCCCAAGTAATTGACACCGTGTTCATCGAGATGATCGGCTCTGGAAAGGCATGCTTTGAAGTCCAAGACTCTTCGTGCTTCTTTAAAACAATGGAGTGCGCGTTGGCGCAACAGGAACCGCTCTGCTTGGACTGGGAAAGCGGATAGAAACTTGGATTCGAGATCCGGGACAGTCAGTCCGAGAATCTGAGCAATTTCCTCCCGCGTATATCCTTGCTCTTGTGTGAGAAGCTCTAGTACCCCCAAAATAATCGAGTCCAATTGATATTCAAGAGGATCCTGCAAACGACCTTCTTTTCGCATCAGCTCATGGTGATAGGTTCGAAAGCTGTAACCCAATGAACTGGCATCCTTGGGCAATTCAATGCTGTGAAGTTTCGCTAGAACCAGTGCGGCCAGGGTGCATTCAGCCACTCTCAGATTATAGTGCTTCGGAGCGGTTTCCGCCTTGTGGGAGGTAACAAAACTTTGGGCCACCAAGAATGTTATTTCCGGTTCCGTCTTCGGGATGGGAACATATTCAGTGCGAAACTTTGGGAAAAAGTGGACGTATAGTAGGTAGCCACGACGCGAAAAGATGGATGCTGCTTGATCCATCCTGCAGATTGTAAGCAAAGCGGCTAGTTCTTCCCGAACCGGTCTCTAGCACTTACCCTCCCGAGTATACTCCAACGGACCGTTCGGAAACCAACGATATATCCAATAGATCCTGTTTTGAGATATCATGGCCGTGGGCCTTAACCACGGCCAAAGCACTGGCACAGACGAATGCCGCACTGCTAGAGACACCGCCGCCTGGCGGCACAGTTCCGTCAACCAAGGCTTGCATGCTCAAAGGGACGAAGCTGCTCCTGCCGGATTTCTCGCGGAGAAATTTGAGTGCTACCAGCAATCCCGCTTTGAAGTAGTTTGCCCAGTCAGGTTTGCTGGCGTCTATATCAATGTCACGGCCACCAGGCACAATGAACTCGCGGACAGGGAACTTTGTGCCATTGACGTTGGCGAGTTTCACGGTGCCATCGGAGCCTTCTGTTTCAACGGTCCTTATGGCAACCAAGACATCCACGCGCAGGGCGGTTGGGAGAACATCGTAAAGCGAATAATCGATGTGTTCCCCAATTATGTTCACTCTTCCGGGACTCCTTGCCACAAAATCGGGGAGCTGGCCGTGAAGCTGTTTGAACCGCTTGATCAAGTCAGCCCATCTCTCTTGTTGATCTGGAGCGACCTTGAAGTCCCCAGGAGTGTCAGCAGGATACACATCGGCAATGGATTGTGTCCGGGGCACGAGCTCCGCCATGTTGCTAGCTCCAGGTCGAGAATCGGCAGGTCTAAAGGTATGAATCCTCATTATCATGCTCCCATGATGCTTGCACGAACAATTGCGGGATGATGACATAACCCGTGTTGCGGATGACTAATCCGTGTTCCCCCACTTCCCGATGCAGCGAACAGCCGATTCCAAGCGCAACCGCCGATGTTCCGCCGTTCGTTATATAAAAGCGAGGCTCCCGATCGCCAGCTGTAACCTGGCGGTGACACTTGCACGGGACACCACAGTGAGCGGATCAGAACAAACCTCAGGTCTTTCGACTGCCGCAACTTGACGCGATGAAAGAAATCCTCCTTGAGAGCGCCAAAGGGCAAATTCAGCACGAATTTGCCCATCTATTATTAACTCTCCACTAATCCCATCGCCAATGCTTTACAGGCCGCCCAGATTGCTCCAGAGTTTGCCCCTCGACCCATCCGGGGTCGACGAAGATGCCTCGCTTCCAGAGAAAGGGCCGCAAACCAAAGGCGACGGGGCATCGTCTACTGTTGATGAACCGTGGATCCGGCGTGCGTTGTTCACTTGAAGAGCAAAGTTTCCGTACCTGAAGCCTGCGACCCCAGATTATATAATCCCGGGCGCAGGAACGAAGATATTCCATTCCGGCGAAATGCAAACAAAGCAAACACTGCACCCCGCAATTCAGCACGTGACCGTCGCCTAATGAGTCAGAAAACTAGTGGCAAACACGAGTTATGCCTAGTGCGGGCTAGTGGCTGCCACACTGGCCAATCACAGGACACTAAATGCCCGATAATCGGACTCTGTGGCGTGGAGTCTGGCCGCCGATATTCGGGTCTGTGGGAATTTATTGAATTGGGCCATTTCGTTGTTAAGAAGTCAATTGCAGGGGCCCGCTTCTTCCTTGTGAAAGAGTCATACCACCTCCCAGCTCTGTGCTCTCCCTTGACATTAAATCTCCTTTTGCCCGCTTCCATCTCCCTCGTCGTCTTTCTTTTGTGTGCTTTTAGCTTGAGAGACTCTGGTGCTTGAAGTTCCTAAAGATGCTGTCTGCTACATCGAGGAGCGCCCTGCGCGCAATCCCGTCAAAACCGTCACATCTCACTTCCAGACAATTCGCAAGCACTCCAATTGCAGCTGCACTCTCCCCGCATCGTCGATCGACACAAAAGCTCGTAACTGGGGAAACTACGAGGCGAGGGCAAAGCACTGCAACAGCGACAGCATCGTACGGTCATCCCCGTGTGGCATTCGCTCAAGTGCAATTCATGTGCTAATGCTTCAATTCCCTGCAACAGACAAACAAGGCCAATTCCAAGTCCTGCATTTAATCAGGATACGAAACAAGATTTATCGCCCCTTCAGAACAGACAACAACCGGGCTTGGATGACTCGTACGTTACCTCGGGTGATTCTTTGCTGCAATCTGGTTACTAAAATTTCTTCGTGTTTGCAGCTTTGTTGGGCTGAGTGGAGGCGAGATCTTTCATGAAATGATGCTGCGTCTCGATGTAAAGCATATCTGTGAGTCATTTTGATGTTAACAAGCCGTGGGATCAGGTGCTGACTTGAAGCAGTTGGATATCCTGGTGGTACTATCTTACCAGTGTTCGATGCAATCTACAACTCGAAACATTTCGATTTCGTCCTTCCCCGTCATGAACAAGGTGCGGGCCATATGGCGCAAGGTTATGCAAGAGCGTCAGGCAAACCTGGAGTGGTGCTGGTCACCTCTGGACCCGGAGCCACGAACGTGATCACTCCAATTCAGGATGCTCTCTCAGACGGCACACCAATGGTCGTTTTCTGTGGCCAGGTTCCCACAGCCGCGATTGGCACTGATGCTTTCCAGGAAGCGGATGTCATTGGGATCTCCAGGGCCTGCACGAAATGGAACGTGATGGTTAAGAATGTTGCTGAACTCCCAAGACGCATCAAGGAAGCGTTTGAAATTGCCACTAGTGGCCGCCCTGGGCCCGTTCTGGTCGACCTGCCCAAAGATGTCACGGCCGGGATTTTAAGAAAACCGATCCCAATGGCATCCAGCCTTCCTTCACACCCAAGTGCAGCCACCATCGCTGCTCGCGAAGTCAGCAGAAACCAACTGGAAGCTACCCTGAAGCGTGTTGCCAACCTGGTAAATGTCGCCAAGAAACCCGTGCTTTACGTCGGCCAGGGTCTCCTTGCCCGCCCAGACGGTCCGGCCCTCTTAAAACAATTGGCCGACAAAGTTTGTATCCCAGTGACAACCACGTTGCAGGGCCTTGGCGGCTTTGATGAACTCGATCCAAAATCTCTGCACATGCTCGGCATGCACGGCTCAGCATATGCCAACATGGCAATGCAAGAGGCAGATTTGATCCTGGCGGTGGGCGCTCGGTTTGATGACCGCGTTACCGGCAACATTGCTAAATTTGCCCCTCAAGCAAAGATCGCCGCTCAAGAGGGCCGTGGAGGTATCGTCCACTTTGAGGTTATGCCCAAAAACATCAACAAGGTTGTTGAGGCCACAGAAGCTGTCGAGGGCGACTGCGCAGATAATATTGCACTCCTCCTTCCCCAGCTGAAGCCAGTATCAGAACGACCAGAGTGGTTCGCCCAGATCAACGACTGGAAAGCCCGATTCCCCTTGTCCTTGTACGAGAGGCAAACCCCAGAGGGCCTTATCAAACCCCAGTACGTGATTGAGAAGCTTAGCGATCTGACGGCTCATATGAAGGATCGCACTATTATTACAACCGGCGTCGGCCAACATCAAATGTGGGCGGCTCAGCATTTCCGATGGAGGCACCCTCGCACGATGATCACATCTGGTGGCCTTGGCACTATGGGTTACGGCTTACCATCCGCTATTGGCGCAAAGGTGGCGCGGCCCGATTGCTTGGTTGTTGACGTCGATGGTGATGCCTCGTTCAACATGACCCTCACAGAGATGTCTACCGCCGCTCAGTTTAACATTGGGGTCAAGATCCTTGTGCTCAACAACGAGGAGCAAGGCATGGTCACGCAATGGCAGAGCCTGTTCTACGAAGATCGCTTCGCCCATACTCACCAGAAGAATCCGGATTTCGTTAAATTGTCAGAAGCCATGGGTGTGCAAGCCAGAAGGTGCGCGCAACCAGAGGATGTCGAATCGAGCCTCAAGTGGCTGCTGGAGAGCGATGGGCCCGCTTTCCTGGAGGTGATTACCGATAAAAAAGTACCTGTCCTTCCCATGGTTCCTGCCGGAAAGGCGTTGCACGAATTTTTGGTATACGACGAAGGTAAGTGATTCTAAACTATTCCGTTATTAATAGGTTCATGGCTAACATGGTTATCTTTAGCCAAAGAAAAAGCGAGGAGAGCTCTGATGAAAAAGCGCACCGGTCATTGAGGTCTTTGAACCTATCAGGACCGTAGCATTAAAATTCTTTTCGCGCTTCTTCACGATTTTGATATCCACGGCGTTGATATTGCTCTCTAATTTCGTTAATTCTAAAGGCCGGCTGTCATTTTTTTTGAGGTTCAAAAATGGGCTTGAGTAGCTACGCCCGATTCTGCAGAGCTATGGAGTAGAGGTGATAATAATACTTGGGTTGCATGTCTGTACATAGGCACTTGAATAATTCTTACTTTTCTATTCAAAATCATCGTCAACATCCAAGAGCTTTTGACTATTAATTGTTGCTGCGCTGGTTCAACCTCGGCTGAAATGGCTCTGGCCGTGGGTCACGTGCTTTGTTTGCCTCTGACGTTTTGTTTGCAGCTCCCCAAGACAAACATCGTGCATGGCGACAGCCGGGGTGAGCTCTTGATTTGGTGCATGGTGCAGATATCATCTGTCTTCCTACATGGCATCCATCAGCCGTGGTCACTCATGATACATCAATTCCGTCTGTGGACATTGTTATTCCCTTCTAACCCTCATAATGGCCTCTCTCCCTCCACAGTCTACTACACCAGGTCGAATACGGTCGACAACGTCACGAGACTCGAACAGTGAACACAACGCTCTCCCGCAAGAAACAAGCTCATACACAGCGACATCGTCGTCAGAGACCGAAGACCGAGAAAGCTCCTCCGAACCCGTATTCCCACGAAGTCCCGCACAGTCCACCTCCTTTGCCGGGATCGAGGTGGAAGACATCACCGATACGAACAAAGAAGCAGAGAACCCAGACACGGTTAATGGCACCGACGCCGCTGGAACCTCATCCAGTAACATTGCCGCCTCCGCGCCCAACCACCCTGACGAAAACGAGCCGAAGAAGTGCTGGATCTGCTATTCCGACGAAACAGAGGATACTCCGCTGAATTCCGAATGGCGATCCCCATGCCCCTGCGCGCTGTCTGCGCACGAGGCATGCCTGCTTGATTGGCTGGCCGATTTGGAGAATCCAAAGTCGAGACGATACAGCGGCCGGTCGGCGAAGATGCACTGCCCGCAGTGTAAATCGGAGATTGTGATCGCTCGACCGAGGAGTTTGATTGTCGAAATGCTGCGCAGGGCGGAACGGCTTGCGGGACGCTTGGTGCTCCCCGGAGTACTGTTTACGCTGGCGGGTACTGTTTGGGCTGGGTGCTGTGCGCATGGGGTATATTCGATGTATCTTATTTTTGGGACGCAGGAGACGAAGCGGATATTGGAGGCTGGAACGGGCCAGCCATGGAATCCGAGGATGAATTTGGGGCTGCCCACGATTCCCCTAACGCTGATATTTTCGCGGACTAGATATGCGGAGAGCTTGCTGCCTGCTATTCCGGTCATATTTTTTGCTACGCATCGTCCCGGGGAGGTGCCGTTGGATTTGGATATGTGGCCGCCTAGTGCATCAGTCACCTTTGCGGTGCTTCCGTATGCGAAATCGTTTTATAACCTACTCTATGAGTGGTCGTTTGGAAAGTTAGAAAGGAAATGGATAGCAGAGGTTCAGCCTCGGGCAGGGGAAAGTGAGGGGAACGGACAGGCCGGCCAAGACGGTCACCAGAATGAGGATAATCAGGTACATGACCACATGGCCGAGAATGAGGGCGAGGTTCTGATGGAGATTGGCTTGGAACTGGAGCTAGGTATGGGAGACGGTGATGAGCCACCTGTCGCCATACAAGCCGTTGCTCGCGGCGGTGACAACCAACCAGCAGGGGCACAAGTGGAGGGGCAGGAAGGGAATCAAGAAGGTGCTCCAGCGAATCAAATACTTGGGAGGCGCCAACATGAGATAATTCAGGATACCAGCAATATCGCCGACACCGTTCTCGGAGCACTTTTATTCCCTGCCATCTCTGCCGGTATGGGTGGTTTGTTGAAATTTACACTACCCAAGTCATGGACGACGGCACCTGCGTCGCTTGAAAAGGGCAGGGCGGGATTCTTTCAAACAAAATGGGGTCGAAGTGTTGTTGGAGGATGTCTCTTTGTCCTGCTGAAAGATGCGCTGGTGCTCTACTGCCGATGGAAGCTGGCCCAGACGCACCGCAAGCGGAGAGTATTAAATTACGATCGGGTTAAAAAGCGAGTTGTCGATCCATGAAAGGAGAGCACTTTGGTTGTTTCCATTACCAGTGTGACCAGTGCTGATATTGGCACCAGTATATCCGAGAAACCTACTAATTCAACTGCATCTTGGGCATGGTTGGCATGTTTACTTGGGGGCGTTTGGCTCATTGAAAGAGATATGATTAATTACTGGCTCCGGGCGCTTCTGATTGGCGATTGTACGTGACAGAGAGCAAGCCTGATATTATTATTTTTATCTGTAGATCGATCAATTCGTCGACAGTCTTCCCTTTATATATGAAAAGCCGCGTCTATTCTAGCCTATCATGGCGATGGCCGTACTTACTTGAGATTATGTAACAGTCGCGCCTAATCACTTGGCATTTTCCCATCGAAAATCCAAAGCCTCAACTCAATTCAGCTGAAGAGCGTTGTCCACCCCGATCATCTTTGCTTGCGGTTCAACGCCCATACTCCATTCCCAACCATGAGGCAACAACTATCTCCCGTGCTCGCCTCCCTGGCAAATGTCTTCAAAATTCCTCTCCGACCTTCCACCCTGAACCAAACATGTGGTGAAATCCTAGCACAGAATTCCTCCCGATCGACGACACCATCAACCCGCTCATTTACATCCAGCGCCGCACTCGCAAAACGAGGAGCAAAAACCAAGCCGGATAAGAAAGTTAGTACGTCAACACCCCTCCTTATCCCGTCCCCCACAAAATCATATTCCTCCTCCAACCCAGACAAAGACACTAATTTTTTTTCTCTCCCAGCCCTAATCCGCTACTTCCTCAACCACCCTCTCACCCCGCGCCCCCTCCGCTTCTCCCGCGACCGCTACCTCCGCCACTGGACCATCCACCGCGCCTGGAACTTGTACCAGGCCAAGCGGCGCGCCGCACGCGATCTCGAGCTCGAGCGCATGCACGCGAGCATGCGCGCGGCGTGCGAGGAGCTGCGCACCGGGGCGGGAGATGGGGGCCGGTTGTTTCGAGTAGCGATGATCAAGAAGGGGGTGTTTACGGATGGGGTGCCGATTGAGGTTGGGCGGCTGCAGACGGAGACGCCGAGTCGGGAGGGGTGGAATTATGCGTGGAAGAGATGAGTGGTAGTACCGGGGGATATTGTTGTGAGGGATTTGGAGGGTTGAGGGGGGGGAGGGACTATGTGGTGGGCGTGGCTGTTGTTGGAGTATTATATTTTTTTCTGTTCCTGAGTTACAGGCCAGGAACGGATACATCTGTTTGGTTTGCACAGCCAAAGTGTACTATTAGAATTGGTTGCCGATGGCCTTTTTGCAATGGATATCAAAAGGAGTTTATGGATTTAAAAGCTATATCAGTTCACTTCATGAACAAAAATTGTAATTTGGAATATACCTAAGACCGTAAACCTAGCTGTCATTGATATGACAGCAATTACTCATAAGTAAAGGGGAAAGGGAAAATTAGTAGGCCCAATAATTGACAAGAGAAGGGACCCAGGGAGCAGAACCGGAACTGAGCAGCTATGCATGCTGCTCCTCCACATAGGGATATTTCATTTCAAACATGAACAGGAAGCTTTGCGAGGAAAACTGAGAACATGCCAGATTACAAATTAGAATAGAG